CTCCCGCTCCTCGCCAGCGTGACTCATCGCCTCACCGCCTCATCGTATCGCAGGCCTCCCCATCGTCCATCACCACATCGCAATCGTCGCCATCGTCCCTCGTCTCACCTCCTCATCGCATCGCAGCCGTCCCCATCGTCCTTCACCGCATCTCACTCCTCCCCATCGTCCCGATCGCCTCACCGCCTCGCGCTCCTTCCGCAGCGTCCCTCTAAGATTCCCCGCCTCGCACTGGTCCCCATCTTCCCTCACAGCATCGCACTCGTCCCCATAGGCCCTCAACGCATCGCATTCGTCCCCACCGTCCCCCATCGCAACGCTCTCGTCCCCATCGTCCCCCATCGCCTCACCACCTCGCGCTCCTTCCGCATCCTCCCCCACAGACTCCCCGCCTCCCGCTCCTCCCCAGCGTGACTCATCGCCTCACAGCCTCAGCCCATTGCAGGCGTCCCAAACCTCCATCGTAGGATCGCACTCGTCCCCATCGTCCCTCACCGCATCGCACTCATCTCCATCGTGCCCCATCGCCTCACCGCCTCATCGCCTCACAGCCTCAGCTCTTTGCAGGCGTCCCCATCGTCCCTCACCACATCGAAGGCGTCCTCGTGGTCCCTCATCACATCCCACTCGTCCCCATGTCCCTCACCGCATCGCGCTCCTCCCCATCGTCCCTAACAGCCTCGCACTCATCCCCATCGTCCGCCATCGCCTCACCTCCTGGCGCTCCTTCCGCAGCGTCCCTCACAGATTCCCTGCCTCGCGCTCGTCCCCATCGACCCTCACAGCATCGAATTCGTCCCCATCGACCCCATCGCATCATCTCATCACCGCTTTGAGCTTCTTCTGCGTCGCCCCCCACAGACTCCCCGCCTGCCGCTCCACGCCAGCTTGACACATCGCCTCACAGCCTCATAGCTTTGCAGGCGTCCCCATCCTCCCTCACAGCATCGCCCTCGTCCCCATCGTCCCTCACCGCATCGAACTCAGCCCCATCTTCCCTCAAGGCAACGCAGGCGTCTCCGTCCTCCCTCATCACATCGCACTCGTCTCCCTCGTCCCTCCTCGCCTCACCGCCTCATCGCATCGCAGGCGTCCCCATCGTCCCCATTGTATCGCGCTCGTCCCCATCCTCCCCCATCGCATCCCACTGGAGCCCTGCGTTCCCCATCGCCTCACTGCCCAGCGCTCCTTCCGCATCGTCTCTCACATATTCCCCGCCTCCCGCTCCTCCCGAACATGACTCATCGCCTCACAGCCTCATCCCATTGCAGGCGTCCCAAACCTCCATCGTAGGATCGCACTCGTCCCCATAGTCCCTCACCGCATCGCGCTCCTCCTCATTGTCCCCAATCGCATCGCACTCGTCCCCATTGTCCCTCATCGCATCGCGCTCGTCCATATGGTCCCCGGTCGCATCGGACTCGTCCCCATCGTCCCCCATCGCATCGCGCTCGTCCCCATCGTCCCTCACCGAATCGCACTCGTCCCCATCGTCCCTCATCGCATCCCCTCGTCAGCATCGTCCCGGGTCCCTTCGCAGTCGTCCCCATCGTCCCCCATCGCCTCACCGCCTGCCGCTCCTTCCGCATCCTCCCTCACAGACTCCCCGCCTCTCGCTTCTCCCCATTATGACTCATCGCCTCACAGCCTCATCGCATCCCTGGCGTCCCCACCGTCCCCCATCCCATCGCGCTCTTCCCCATCGTCCCTCACCGCATCGCGCTCTTCCCCATCGACCTCATCGCCTCACCGCCTGGCGCTCCTTCCGCATCCACCCCCACAGACTCCCCGCATCCCGCTCCTCGCCAGCTTGACTCGTCGCCTCACAGCCTCGTCGCATCGCTGGCGTCCCCATCCTCCATCGTTGGATCGCACTCGTCCCCGTCGTCCTTAATCGCTTCGCAGTTTTCCCCATCGTCCCTCACTGATTCGCACTCGTCCCCTTCGTCCCTCACAGACTCCCCGCCTCCCGCTCCTCCCCATCGTGACTCATCCCCTCACAACCTCATCGCTTTGCGGTCGTCCCCATCGTCCTTCACCGCATCTCACTCCTCCCCACCGTCCCCATCGCCTCACCGCCTGGCGCTCCTTCCGCATCCTCCCCCACAGACTCCCCGCCTCCCGCTCCTCGCCAGCGTGACTCATCGCCTCACCGCCTCATCGCATCGCAGGCCTCCCCATCGTCCATCACCACATCGCAATCGTCGCCATCGTCCCTCGTCTCACCTCCTCATCGCATCGCAGCCGTCCCCATCGTCCTTCACCGCATCTCACTCCTCCCCATCGTCCCGATCGCCTCACCGCCTCGCGCTCCTTCCGCAGCGTCCCTCTAAGATTCCCCGCCTCGCACTGGTCCCCATCTTCCCTCACAGCATCGCGCTCGTCCCCATAGGCCCTCAACGCATCGCATTCGTCCCCATCGTCCCCCATCGCCTCACCACCTCACGCTCCTTCCGCATCCTCCCCCACAGACTCCCCGCCTCCCGCTCCTCGCCAGCGTGACTCATCGCCTCACAGCCTCGTCCCATTGCAGGCGTCCCAAACCTCCATCGTAGGATCGCACTCGTCCCCATCGTCCCCCAAGGCATCGCGCTGGTGCGCATCGTTCCCCATCGCCTCACCGCCTGGCGCTCCTTCCCCATCGTCCCTCACAGATTCCCCGCCTCCCGCTCCTCCCCATCGTGACTCATCCCCTCACAACCTCATCGTTTTGCAGTCCTCCCAAACCTCCATCGTAGGATCGCACTAGTACCCATCGTCGTCCCCCATCGCATCGCGATCCTCTCCATCGTCCCTCACCGCATCGCACTCGTCCCCATTGTCCCTCATCGCATCCGCTCGTCCCCATCGTCCCGGGTCGCATCGGACTCGTCCCCTTCATCCGGCATCGCATCGCACTTGTCCCCACCGTCCCCCATCGCATCGCTCTCGTCCCCATCGTCCCCCATCGCCTCAGCGCCTGGCGCTCCTTCCGCATCGTCCCTCACAAACTCCCCGCC